CTATATATAGGTATAGTAGTAATAGTATAGATAATATAATATATATATATAGTATATTATAAATAGAAGAGAGAGGAGATGACGAGAGGGAGAGAGAGAGAGAGAGAAAGGAGGAGAGAGGAGAGAGAGATCGATAATTAGATAGGATAAATAGATCAATAGATTATTGGCGTAAATGAATTGTAAATAAACAGCTAGAGTAAGGATAGACGGGCGGATTCACGGAATGGACGGACTAATAGACGGATGGATGAATGAATTGACGGATGAAACGGATTGGACGGATGGCAAAGAATATGGAAGGATGAATGGACGGATGACGAATGGATTGACTGGACGGACGAACCGTCGGACGGGCGGGCGGTGTGGACGGGACGTCTGGATGGATTGAAGGATTAATGTATGGATGGTTGGATGGATAGATGGACGGACAGGTGGATTGATTGATTGATGGGTGGATGAATGATAGATAGATAGATAGGATAGATAGACTATATACATATATATATATTAAAAATTCCATTTTCTTGAGAATATGCGAGCATATTCGTATAATACATAGAGAGCACAAACTGATGAAACTCATCTGACTTAACTGGTATAAGATAATTTTCTTCATATATTTACTTTGCGTTAAATCTCGGTCACACTATTATTAATTTATATGGGAGGATGCTCGCCAACTTCTAATAATCTCCCACTAATAATCTAATAAATCTCCTCACTTGCACCTTTTGATTTTATATAAGTTTTATTATCATTTCATATATAACTTCTTTTATTGTACGTACATTATCCGTACGTATTATACCGGCGTACGTACGTACAATACGTAGCCTATCCGTGATTCTCTCGTGAGGAGATCTCTCTGCTGCAGTGCCTATATGTAGCGGGAGCGAAGTGGGCTACACCGGTACTGAGAGTCTGAAAAGTTGAGAACATTAAAACATTGTATATACTGTTCTCAGCACCGGTAGAGCCAGAGAAATATTTAGAGACGTACCTATATTATTTCTATGAGTAGAGCTATTGCTTATAGTATGCTCGCCAATGGAAAAGGGGATGTCTATATTCAAGCCGCGCGCGGTACGGGCAACGGCGTAGCCAAAATTAAATCTAAGGGGGGGGGCAATGAGTTCGAGGGAGCGGAGCGCCCGAGGGGGGGGGGTATCCCCACTCCCACAGTGAGAGCTTTTTGCATTTTGATGTTGTTAATGGTGCAATTTGGTGCATGTTGTTGGCATGTTTTATCGACTTGAAACAGCCCTGCTGGTTTAAATAAGGTAGCAGTATTTTGATGTAGATATTTTAACAAAACAAATCATTTAAATAAATTTCTAGTATTAATTCTTATAATGAATATCATGAACACCGTCTGCTAAGCAATCAAACAGAAATAGCATGAAGGTGAGGTTTGCGATCACTTGCAAATTACATTTTATACAAAAAGTCATGTAACATTACAAAGATACGTGCTGGTAACGTGTGTGATGACACTCGGGAGGGGGAGGGGGGACACATTGTATCCATCCGAGCTCCATGTACATACAGGCAAGAGGGAAAATACAGCTCTCTCAAGCCTACCGACCGGTCCCGCGTTCATCCTAACGCATTGTGTGCGTAGGGTACACGGTACAGAATACCCCAAACCACACATGCAATACTTTCATCCAGAATTGAATTAATTATTAACTATATACGCATCTGTAAAAATCTTCTTTATTCGAACTCCTCACTCAGAGGTTTATCATTATCATTATCATTATCATTATCATTATCATTATCATTATTACTAGTTGCCGATAGAAATGTGTAGTAGCTGTGTCATTTGCAGGGCCGGAAAGCTTGAGAATGGAGATAAAACCGTTTTACTGTTCGGCGCATCCTATTGGTTGACCCCGCAACATATTCCGTGGCTGTTGGAAAATTTAAAAAAGTAAATAAACGTAGCTAACGTATGTAGAAACTATAAGCATAAACTACATTATTACAGTACTACAATTGCTACAGTATAAAACACAGTACAAACCGCATTGTAAACTATGTATTGTTTCGCATTCATTGTACGAACGATATCTGGCGTCGGATGTATGAACAGCTTTGGGTGATCATAAACCATATGTAAGATTATTGATTCATGTTTTGGGTCCATTCATTAACTGTTGGAAATTTGGTTGGTGTCTATTAACCGTACAAACACGTCGTTCACTGTATATTGTATTTTGAACAATTACGTCATTTGTAATAACGCGTATGTTAACCCGTTCCAGAAATCGGCTCGACAAAATCGCGATACAAATCAAATCGATCAACGTCGCGCTCCATCTACCGGCCAAAGAACTGAATAAAGTACTCGAGCCCCGCGCGATCCTAGAGCGTGCACAGGAGACGGCGGAGATGGCAGAACAGCACGGCGTCGCCGTTACAGATGCCTTTAACATGACGGCGGCAAGATATCGCGAGTTCCGAGCAGGAGGATTCTGCGCTTGTCACTTTGATATTGTGAGTGCCTGCTTGCGTGCGCTCACGCGTGCATGCCGGTGCGTGCCTAGATTTGCGTGCGTGTGGACGTGTGGCGTGTGCGTGCGTGTGCTATGGAATAGACGTACTATCACGAAGGGTCTATTCACCAAGTTTGCTGCGTAGTGTTAACGGCAAACATTAGACGATGTGTAGACGCAGTTATAGACTAATGTCTCTTACCGTGTGCCGTTTTACAAAGACTGAGATTTTTCTTATTCGCTGATAGGTGAAGAAGAAGAAGAAAGATGTTGTTAGCGACTCTGATCCGAGGCAGATCGGAGACACCGGAATAAATACCGTGTTTACAGACATGATTATCAGTTCTCTCTGCCGGAGACTGTTGATGTAATGAAGCACGTCTCATCAACGTCTCATGCGCAAATTAAAAATAATTCATAAATATGGACGACGCAAAGTGGCGCCTTCTACAGTAGTATGTGTCGATATGTGCACGGCAGATGCAGAAATTTAAGTGCGGTTCAAATGTATACGAAGTGATTTGCAATTGGTTTGGTATGGGCTAATCATGTTTTCACTGTCCTGTGTTTGATTGGTTAGCTATATAAAAGTGTGACTGTGATGTTGATTATTTCGTGTGATTCTTGTAGTCACTGCACACAATTAGGAGAGACACGAAGACTGTGTGGTACGATAGAAAAATGTCTAGACGTGGTTTACAGGAAACGTGCTTTATTACACTCTAGCCAGTACAGTGTTATAATGCCCCTTACGTGTCCTTGCCCCTCCCCCTTTTACATTGGCGTTTTCAATCCTTGGCCAACATGTAGAGGCATCTATACCTCTAGACAAGTGAGAGGTTTCGTGTCCCGTGACTCCCGATGAACAACTATCGTTTCGTTAATATCTTATGATACTTAATATGTTATGCACCTATTACCCCCCCCCAGCACCCCACGCCGCACCACCACCCCCACCCCACCCGCCGCAGCATCCCCACCCCACCCTACCCATTAGCTCTTTATTCAGCCCTTAGATATGCCATGCGTTCAGCCACCATCGACGTACATGGCCACCAGGAGTGCATAATATAGGTTCTCTAAAGAATCCATATTATATCCCCGGCAAACTACCGCTAAAAACATAGTGAGAGAACCCAGTCGACTAGAGAGCCACGAGGAGAGAGACTGTGAGAGAGAAAGAGAGAAAGAGAGAGAGAGAGAGAGAGAGAGAGAGAGAGAGAGAGAGAGAGAGAGAGAGAGAGAAAGAGACTGATGTCGTGTAATCATGTGGCTATGTTTAGCCTTGATTATATAGGCTAAGCAGCCTTGCTTGCGGGGCGCGCTAGATTAGAATGCATAATACAGGTTTAGAATAACGATGTATTTATTATGTGGATATGAATAATTTTACATGCTTAGTTTTAGATAATTCAAATATACATGCTTGTTACGAAAATGTTATACAAATTGATTGTCGTTTATCTTTACATTGTACTACTTTAGCCGAGCTCGAGTCAGGTTATCGTGTATAAAAAGCCGGTTATCGTGTATATATTTTCCTCGGCACTGAGCGATGATAGAATGTGTGGTTTGTTATTTAAAGTTCATTTCTTTGCCTCATGATCACTCTGTGATTTTTTGGAAAGAGTAGAGTTTTTAATTACTAAAGTGTAAACCAAGAAATAACCCGTTGTCAGAAACAAAATTAGTCTTAACAATAGTCGAAAGTGCTATCTTAGCATTAACATTAGCATTAACTTTACGATGTTACTGACAAGGCCCCCCGGATCATGATACGAGAATGGGATGATATGACGACACTGGATCATGGGGTTTACATAACACCGACACTGCATTAGTTGTGATTACGACAATTACGGCTTCAGTTTAAACGTAAGAAAACGGCCGAAGAAAATTATCTTGGCAGTCAACGGCTACCGACGTCGCAGCCCCTTTTTCGTGTCGCATATCTGGGAATCGTGGCGCGAGGCTGCGAGAAAGTGAAGGATGTAGATAAGATTTTACCATGCACACGTGCCGTCGGCCCGCCCGCGACTAGTTTGAACGAATGAGAACGCCCGAAGACAATTCTCTTGGCAGTCAACAGTGACCGACGCACGGGCGCCATCTGCACGTAAATAAATATCGGCATAGTGGAGTACCCAGGGCGTGATGCTGCGATCAAAGTGAATACTATTGATAGGATTTTACCAAGCGCATGTGCTGTCAGCCTGCCTGGCTCCAGTTTGACCGTGTAAGAACGGCCGAAGAAGATTATCTTGTCCTATACGCGACCGACGCTCTGGCTCGCACGATCTGTTACCGAGCGCGTTATTGCGCTCATTCTCATGCAAGTACTTCCTCCCTAAACAATGTACAATAATACCACAACCAATAAGGAAGATTACCTACAAGTGCTAACCTTCAGTGTATATGATTAGTTTATTTACACCGCTATTGCTGCTGAAATTATCGTGGTATTAGTGTATAACTGCCACAGTAAGGCCAAAATAGTCCTTTAGCAATTGTTAGTTGCCCGTTCTATTAAGTTGATTTCACTGTATTACTGCTATACGCCGGTGTTGCTTACTACCTTTTCCATACGGTGCATGGGCCTCGATGGGCAACGCGGCGACCACAGAGCCGTATATAGAGATCTCTATATACGGCTCTGGGCGACCAGCGACGCGAGCGCCATTCGTCATGAATATTGCTGCAGGAATATTAGCATAGAATAAGGATTGTGGTGGGATTCTGCGGCAAAATTGAAATTGTAAGCGATTTTTCGAAATTAAAGCGAAATTTCCCATGCACATGCATCTTTCGCGGTGTCATTTACATTTTTATATATACGTATATATATACAAATGTAAATATATACATGCATAATAATAATTATATACATGTTCATATATATAATATATATATATATATATATATATATATATATATATATATATAGAGAGAGAGAGAGAGAGAGAGAGAGAGAGAGAGAGAGAGAGAGATCGATAATTAGATGGATAAATAGATCAATAGATTATTGCGTAAATGAATTGTAAATAAACAGCTAGATGTAAGGATAGACGGGCGGATTCACGGAATGGACGGACTAATAGACGGATGGATGAATGAATTGACGGATGAACGGATGGACGGATGGCAGGATATGGAAGGATGAATGGACGGATGGACGAATGGATTGATGGACGGACGAACCGTCGGACGGGCGGGCGGGTGGACGGACGTCTGGATGGATTGAAGGATTAATGTATGGATGGTTGGATGGATAGATGGACGGACGGGTGGATTGATTGATTGATGGGTGGATGAATGATAGATAGATAGATAGATAGATAGATAGATAGATAGATAGATAGATAGATAGATAGATAGATAGATAGATAGATAGATAGATAGATAGATAGATAGATAGATAGATAGATAGATAGATAGATAGATAGATCGATCGATCGAT